ATACAACCCCTAATTTTCACCCCTCTACGATCAACCCCTATTTATAATTACAAATGATAGGTATACATGACAAAACGACGTTTGCCGGATCAGCTAGTCTTATATATAAAATTCTCGTGTCGCAATGTTAGTTACCATACTCCTCCGAAACGGCTTGACCGATTTTTATCAAATTTTATATGCATATTCAGTAGGTCTGAGAATAGGTTACTATCTATTTTCATACCCCTAAGTGATAAGGGTTGTCCACCCCTAATATTTTATTTTTATTTTTTTGGACGAAATTTTATAATAATGTGCCATTAAAAAATACACCTAAATCTTCACCCCTCTATCACCAACCCTTATTTTTTATTTGTTAATTAAAATCCTATGACTTGAACTCTGAGGTTTATATAGAGAAAAAGGTAGGCGAAGTAAAATCACATTAAGGAGAAACGAAGTTCGCGGGGGCAGCTAGTGTAAATATAATAAAGACCTTATTGTATGCATTAAATTGTCTCCAAAACTACAATATTTGAAAAAAAATTCACCGTTTGAACTCTACGCTATCACTAATGAACATAGGCTATGAAATATTTTCAAAAAAGTTAGTGAAATTACTGTAGTGTAACCCAATAATAAGTACTAAATCGCGTACGTTGCGGAAACCATTGACAATAGAGCAAAGTGATGTACTACAGTTTTATAAAAGACATCAATACCATATGTCTAACAAAAAAAATCTTGCATATAAAAGTATTTTTACTGAGAAAAACATCGAACATGTTACGATAAGGAAAATAGCAAAATGTTTCGTAAAATTATAAACTTATTCAGATTTAATTTCGCCTAACGAGACGTTATTCTTGGAAGTATTTAAGGAAAATATATTCAAGAATTTCTAAATACAAGAAATTTTTCCGGTGAGCCTCCTGCCCTTTGCACCCGGTTATATATCATCTTTGATATATTATGTAGTGCTTGATTATTTCATAGGCAAGTAGGACTTGAGAAGCTGTGCGTGGCATAATAGTATGACTTTCAAAATGAAGTTTGAAGTCCTGCGACGCATCACGGCTGCGATGGATTTTTCTTTCTGATTATCTACCTGCCTAGATAGAATCTGTGATAAGAAACATTATCTGATACAGAAATCTATGGCCCAGACCATACCTACCAAACCTACCTTACCTACCATACCTACTATACCTACTATACCTACTATACCTACCATACCTACCATAAGTAGAAATTTCGAGTGTGAAGTGAATTTTGACAGTCACGATACGATGTTGTAGTAAACCAAAGACGGATATATAGACAACGGCATTATATAATACGCGTGAGAAGTGTGCAACCTTATTTCTTCAATTACATAATGTGAAGACAATACGAGAAACATTCGAGGCAATATAACAACTGATGCGTTATTTTAGCATCTTCTAAGACATTTATTATGGGGAGTGCTCTGAAGGATTGTTCGGACTAATATCTGCGGCTGAACTCCATCATCAGAAGAGGCAGAAATCGAAATTCCATTCTTTCTATCACCTGGACACATCTCTTTTTATGACACTTTCTGTCGCACACCACCTTTTTTTTTTGATATATATAGAACGGGGGTCAAACGGGCAGGAGGCTCACCTGATGTAAAGTGCTACCGCCGCCCATGGACACTCTCAATGCCAGAGGGCTCGCGAGTGCGTTGCCGGCCTTTTAAGAATTGGTACGCTCTTTTCTTGAAGGACCCTAAGTCGAATTGGTTCGGAAATACTTCAGTGGGCAGCTGGTTCCACATAGTGGTGGTGCGCGGCAAAAACTGCCTTGAAAAACGCTCAGTTGTGGAACGGCGGACGTCGAGGTGATACGGGTGGAATTTCGTATTCTGTCTCGACGTCCGGTGAAAAGAAGCTGCCAGTAAAGGTATTACCGAATCGATACGACCTTGAAGAAAAGAGCGTACCATTCCCTGAAAGTACGGCAACACACCCACTAACCCCCGGCGTTGCAGGAGTCCATGGGGAGTTATCACTTAATTAAAAGTGACCCGTATCCGCGCTTGCAAGACCAGCCTTCTGTGCGTGACTTTGGGTCTCAGGGTTGAAAAAATTTTAATATTAGGTACCGAAGAAAGAGTTCTCGGTAAGAGACCTAAGAGTTCAAACTCAAACTCAAACTCAAAATATCTTTATTCAAGTGGGTAACCAAAGTACACTTTTGAATCGTCAAGTTAAATTAATCGTAAATTTACATTTACTACCAGTTCGCAAGTCAAGGGCGTAGAGCGGGTAAGAAGAACTGGCAAGAAACTTTCCGCCACTCTTTTTAATCGCCAAGTATTGTCATACAAATTGTTTGAACTGCGCAAACTAGCTGCTGTAGTCTGGCAGAATTACCAGCGCTGTGGAACAGTCTGCTCCACAGCATAATGTTGAACCAGCGCCAATTACACAACACACGCATTACACACTTAAAACGTACCTACCTTGTTCTTTAAAAGAAATTTTCATCTTTTATTATTTTAATTGTTTTTTTCTCTGTATCTGTGTCTGTGTTTTGTTAGTAATAAATGCTATGTCTATATGTCAAAAACGTATTGGACGTGTGCTAATTGCCTTAAAACACGTAGAAATGTTAAATTTCAATGGAGACACAACTGAGAAATAAAGGAAATTGCTACACATTATTTCCTAAACATATTCATGTTAAATTTGTCGGTGTGAAAATTCACACGCGTGTCAACTTGAACTTAATAACATTGTTTTTGTGCAATCCGTATGATTATTAAATTATGCTTTTTATTATTGTCACACAATGAATTAAATACATTTACTAATGTTTAGAGAATGTTGTCTGTGTGTTTTTTTGTTATAATTTAATAATTGAGTATATTTATTCTCCAATAAAATAGATATCCTCTTCACTGTCAGTGCCATTCTGTTGTGGAATGCAGCCGTGTAGACCTCGCTAATATCTTTTAAGAATCATCTAAGATTGTACCGATAAACATTTGTTTTAGTTAAACTGTGAATATATTTTTACATCTCATAACTCTTCCTTTCCTGGCGAGTCCTTTAAGGTCTCTGGAGTTAGACTATGGAATTCACTTCCCGTCCCTATTCCCTTAGCTCCTCTATCTTCCTTTAAATCTCTACTGTACAAACATTACTTGTCCACATCGTATCCCTAACTTTCGTACTAACTGATCTAAAATTATCGTGATTCATGTGCACTTTTTCTTTTTCATGTGTCCTTTTTTTGAATATTGTCCTATTCACTGTTAACATATATGTTTTAATTGATTTGTTTTGTTCCATTCGTTTTGTCTAAATAACTATATGTCTTACGTATTTTTGCACTTCTTGCTTGTCTCTCTCTATCTCTATCTTGTTTATAATTGTTTTTCTCACAGTGGTTGCCTGGAAGAGTTCTCGTAAGCCAATTGCCCTCCTTTTCGTTTAATTGTGTCATTTTTAATATATTTCTGAAACGAAGTGTTAATTAATAAATAATTTTAAGTTACGTCTGATATATATATTTTTTTACCTTATTATGTTTAGAATGTTAGTAGTAATACCACTAATTTACATTCTTTAACTTTTTTCCTGTTCTGTGATGTCAATTAAGTGTTAATATATTATAATAATAATATAATTTTATTCATGGCAGAAATATATACGTGACAAAAGTTATCTAATGCTAGTTGTGGGTGACTTGAATTTGAAATTTGTTTAAAGAAAAAGTAATCTTGATGTAACGTCTAATAAAACCAAAGTCGTATCATATAAGATTTTAAGTTATAATCCGCACATACTTAATAATTTATTTACAAATAAAAAACCAGGTTACATAAGTTATTAGGCAACGGGCGCCCTTATCGCTAACAAGCGATTTCTTCCAGGCAACCCTAATATGCAACAATAAAAAAGATACACCTACAGAGAACACATAAAGTACAACAAATGCATAAAAATTAACAAAAAAAATCTCAAAATAACTAAAATAGAATAAAAGTAAAAATAAAATATGTATAAACAAAAATTTAAAAGCCAATAAACTCTAAAGGTTAACTGTGTCACAATTAATATATATATATAAGTATTATGTAGCTATTTCCGAGGAAGAAAAAAAATATCCAAAAGAAGATTTTAAGACTGAATTGATAAGGTAATATTCTAACAAGGAACAGATAGTTTTATCCAAATCAGTTCTGTAGTTTTTTTTTATGGCTCTGGCACGATTTGTGCATTAGCCAGCGTCAAGTATATAAGATTATTATAATTCGTGCTTGCCTTAGAAATTCGATCGTGTCCTCCATGTACGGTTTAGGCACTCGCCCGGTACCGCACAACCCTCCCAAAGGCCGAGAACAAATTTAAATTATATTAGAACTTGCCCTCGAACCGGGTATCGAACCCGGTACCTCTCACCTAGCTGCCACTTAATAAGACCGCTAGGCTATGAGGCCCCCAGTTCTGTAGTTTTTGAGGTCTCTTGTTTGGTGGGGACATGTATAAAGTGTAAATAATGTATATACAGATTCTTAAAGTTGGTTTATCATTTACTTTTCTAAAGTATTATGTATCGATAAATTTAACTGTCCTATTGCAAAAAACTTAAATGGAAATGGGCGGGCCGTACCGCTCGAATTAACAATGGCAGATGGACAAAGAGGGTAACAAAGTGGAAAGGGCCACCAGGAAAAAGAAAGCGTGGTCGCCCTCTTGCACGGTGGGCCGACGAGCTTAAGAAAGTTGGTGGAGAGGATTGGGAGAAAAATGCTCAAAACAGAGAGAGATGGTGATGGAGGATGAGATGGAGAGTCAATTGAAGGAGGCCTATACTCAATAAGAGGTCCTTGGACAAATATAATATTAATATATAAATATAATATAATATATATATATATATGTATTTTATGTGTGTGTGTGTGTATATTTTGTAACTTTTTGTAAATTTTTCAAGGAATAAATAAGGTTAAATAAATTAAATTTAACTGGTTAATAACATAAAAATATCTATCCTTTATTGAAAACTTTAGCTTCCCTTTTATAAGCGTCTCTCTTACTCTTCCCCATCTGCAAAACTCTTCTCACGAAGGGATCTTTTTTGAGTGCTTCTCTGACCATTGTCTCATCTATATTTACAACTGTTGCTGGTTTCGTGGAACCTTGAATCACCTCCTATAACCAAAAATATTATGTGTATAATGGTAATATAATATGACTTTAAATTAACATAATTTTTATCTTTAAAATTGTACTCGTTATTTCATTAAGTCATCCATATATTTATACTAGCTGATCCGGCAAACGTCGTTTTGCCATGTTTATCATTTATAATAAAAAATAGGGGTTGATCTTAGAGGGATGAAAATTAGGGGATGTATGTATTTTTTAATGCTGTATCATAAAAAAATTTTTTTTTTTTTATCTAAAACTTAAAAAAAAAATAATTAGCCGTGGACTACCCTTAACATTTAGGGGCATGAAAAATAGATGTCCGATTCTCAGTTATACCCAATATGCACACAAAATTTCATGAGAATCGGTCAGGCCGTTTCGGAGGAGTTTAACCACAAACACCGCGACACGAGAATTTTATATATTAATTTTCACTAAAGTACAGTATAAACACAATTTGGCGGAAGGAGACGAAATACTTTAGGAATGCAATTGGTCAGATTTAGGTTTTATAAATGGGTATATAAACACTAACACACTATGAAAGGGCTGTTAGATTTCTGCATCTTCAATTGATAGGCACGAAGATCAGCCTTCAGGACCAGCCAGGACAAAGGCATGTAGATTTTCGAGTTCCAATTCCTTGCGATGCTTTCTTTGCACTAGCAAGTGTTAAGGTACCTCGACCTCATGGTGATTTTGTCGTATATCAAATAGGCTAATAAGTAGTAATCTTTGTTGAACGCATAAGTTGTTTACTGGAAAAGCGAACCCAGAACGTTTAACCAAGGTCGCGAAACCTACCTGTTTGTGAGTAACGTTTCCATTCTTCAGTTTATCCATTTCCTCTAACAGTGTATTGAAGTTTGTCCTCAGCGTTTTCTTTTCTTCTTTCAACAAATTCATTATTCTATTAACCAAAAAGTTCTGCTTTTTCAACACTTCTTCTATTTCTGGACGTTGAAAGATATTTAAATTCACTTCTTGACTAATTTTGTTGGTTTCCAATTCGCGAATATACTTTTTCGCAAAATTCTCATTTAAGTCTTTTCTATCTGTAAGTCTATTCATTTCTTTTATATCCCTCTTCTCTTCTTTATTTTTAACAAAAGCGTATTCTGGATTTGCAATTGGTATTTTAAAATTAAATCCAACAGTGGTTAGATGCGATTTTTTTCGTTGAAGTACAAAATTATCTAATTCGTGCTTTATTTCATCGTTATTGCGATATCTTGGTATAAAAGGTGCTATTTCAGTATACTTATTTGCATTAATTAAATTTGTATTTATTTTTGGCTCTGAATTAATTAAATCTTTCGCGATATAATTGTTTATTTTGTCCAAAGTTATTGAAAATTCGTTGAATACTGTTTCGTTAGACGATTTGTATTCAATTTTGACGTCGTATATTTCCTTAAACGCTGCGGGAAATTTTCAGATTAATGAGGGTTTTTGTATGTTGTTTTTTATTAGCCTGTTTTTAAAAAGAAATTTAATAAAAAATGTAAAAAGAAATACCAAGAAACCTGTTTTCGACGAGAATTCTTATACTAATACAGCATGTCAGATTAATACAATTTATATTTGTTTATTTAATTTAATTTTGTATGAATGTACACGTAATGGTTTAAATAAGTTTATTATGATTGGAAGCTCAAGTGAACTTTCAATGCATCCTTAAACCAGTATCACAGTGGTTTTGTATTCTTATTTATAAAAAAGTTCTACTATCACTAAGCTTCCGAATCGAAAGTTTTGCATACACTTTATAATTCTATTCCTTCCCCTTACATATTTCGAGCAGTGAGTCAGCGTGTGATTCTCATCCTAAAGTCGTAAGTTCGATCCTCGGCTTTGCACCAATGGTCTTTCTATGTGAGCATTTAATTTAACTCGTATCGTGAAGGAAAACGGCATGCCTTAGTCCAATCGATATGTGTGAGGCACAGAAGGCTGATCACCTACTTGGCAATTAGGAAATGTTTACGAAACAGACAGAAATCTGAGGCCCAGACCTAAATAGTTGTTTAGGCGCCACTGTTTTTTATTCCCCCCTTAATCTTTATATTCCTACCTTACTCAAACTCAAAATATCTTTATTCATATAGGTAAGTACACTTATGAACGTCAAAAAAGAAGTTAAATTCATTGTAAATTTACATTTACTACCAGTTCGCAAGTCAAGGGCGTAGAGCGGGCAAGAAGAACTGGCAAGAAACTTTCCGCCACTCTTTTTAATCGCCAAGTATGGAGTCATACAAATTGTTGAACTGGAGCAAATCAATCCCAAGGATTAGGATCATTTTAGTATTCGTCAAATTTATAAAAAGCTTTATTGATTAATTTATGTTTAACGAGGGGTCTGAATTTATATAGTGAGGTGAAATACACCTTAAATACATGATAGACAAGATATACTTTAACCAGAGAGATCCCGTGGAAATTGCCGAAACAAAGAAAATTCCGAACGTCTTACCAGCTACGCAGTGAAGGAAAATCAATAACATTTCCATTATTTATTTATGGCTTTTCATATTTTCTCGTAAAATATTAGCTGAAAATAAATTTCAAATAGCCTATTGTTCGAATGGAGATACGACTCTCGACTAGAAGTTTCGTTGGAGGATTTTCGTCAATGACAAAGAATTATATCTTTTTAATTATTTTTGTTATACAGTATAAAATCTTTATTACGAATTTCAAGGGACCGGTCATTTTTGTTCGTTATATAGAGAAGAAAAAACAATTACAATATTTTCTTAAAATTAGAAATTATTAATTAATAATTATTACTATCAATAGGTGAATTATTTTGTTTACTGGCCATCTTATCACTTAACGTCAGGTGAGCCTCCTGCCCGTTTGCCCCCTGTTCTATAAAAAAAAATGCCCCGCCCATTGCCACTTCTGTTGTAGGGCATAATGTAACTCTATAACTTTGTTTTTATAGCTTTTTATTACATCAATTTAAATGTGAACATAAATTACTTTGATTGCACTAGGTGCAATATAATCAGCTTGATTGCTTTTGATTTATGATCTAGATTTTTCCTTGACTAACGAATTAATGATGGGAACGTGTCATATGTCACTTTGACAATTAACTTTCGTGTCGTTGTATAACTGTTATGGCCCTTTTAAATGAAACTTGAATTGGGAATTGCTGACCACTTAATGGTAGAATAAGGCAAAACTCGAGATGGGGCGTGATCTGTCTTATGTCACTTTGACAATTAACTTTCGTGTCGTTGTATAACTGTTATGGCCCTTTTAAATGAAACTTTAATTGGGAATTGTTGACCACTTAATGGTAGAATAAGGCAAAACTCGAGATGGGGCCGTGATCTGTCATATGTCACTTTGACAATTTACTTTCGTGTCATTGTAAAACTAAAAGGCCTTTTTAAATGAAACTTTAATTAGGAATTGTTGACCACTTAATGGTAGAATAAGGCAAAACTCGAGATGGGGCGTGATCTGTCTTATGTCACTTTGACAATTAACTTTCGTGTCGTTGTAAAACTAAAAGCCCTTTTAAATGAAACTTTAATTAGGAATTGTTGACCACTTAATGGTAGAATATGGCAAAACTCGAGATGGGGCGTGATCTGTCTTATGTCACTTTGACAATTAACTTTCGTGTCGTTGTAAAACTAAAAGCCCTTTTAAATGAAACTTTAATTAGGAATTGTTGACCACTTAATGGTAGAATAAAGCAAAACTCGAGATGGGGCGTGATCTGTCTTATGTCACTTTGACAATTAACTTTCTTGTCGTTGTAAAACTAAAAGCCCTTTTAAATGAAACTTTAATTAGGAATTGTTGACCACTTAATGGTAGAATAAGGCAAAACTCGAGATGGGGCGTGATCTGTCTTATGTCACTTTGACAATTAACTTTCGTGTCGTTGTAAAACTAAAAGCCCTTTTAAATGAAACTTTAATTAGGAATTGTTGACCACTTAATGGTAGAATAAAGCAAAACTCGAGATGGGGCGTGATCTGTCTTATGTCACTTTGACAATTAACTTTCGTGTCGTTGTAAAACTAAAAGCCCTTTTAAATGAAACTTTAATTAGGAATTGTTGACCACTTAATGGTAGAATAAAGCAAAACTCGCGATGGGGCGTGATCTGTCTTATGTCACTTTGACAATTAACTTTCGTGTCGTTGTAAAACTAAAAGCCCTTTTAAATGAAACTTTAATTAGGAATTGTTGACCACTTAATGGTAGAATAAGGCAAAACTCGAGATGGGGCGTGATCTGTCATACGTCACTTTGACAATTAACTTTCGTGTCATTTGTGTATGTGTTTGTAATTTAGGAATCAATTATTTTAGTAGTAGGCTAGATCGGTCAGGGTTTGTAAGTTGCTGACGCTTAGTTGAAATAAATCTGACATTTTAGGAATGTATTTTTGTGCATTGTTTAAAACATTCAAAACAAAAGAAAATACAAGCGGTTTTTCCCCGACTTTGATTTTGTTTCTAATGGAGTGGAGACTCTTGGGCTGTGTTCAAGTGCAGGCGCCAATCAAAGATTTAAGTGGGCGCCTGGTTGCACCGCTGACCCCAGACAATGGTGGTAATTTCTTCAATGAATGAGAATCGCAATACAGCGAGAGACTGCTGTAGATTAAGGGTACACTAATAATAATAATAATAATAATAATAATCTTTATTGACATATTTGTAATTACAGAAATCCTATGAAGACTCTGACACCTAAACTAGGCTTTAGTGCCTGTATCTCAGGAGTCAGTGGCTTCTCCCAATATAATTCGTAACAAGTGTCAAGAGAGCTTATTCAAAATTTTACAAGACAATACTTTTTATAGACATTTGTAAATTCCAGATATTACATCTAATTATCCTGTTACACATAATATACTTAAACAAAAATAACATATATTGAAAAAAAATGTTTCAGTATAAATTACAATGAATATAATAGGTAATAAAATAGGTACATACACATAAAATACTAAAATACATAAATATACATAATACATAAATATACATAATTATACATTTTACATATGGGTATATGTAACACTAGTATAAATATATAAATTATACACATAATTAATGAATCAAAATAACTAAAACATTATTGTAGCATGTTAGTTAAATAGATCTTCTGTTTCCTCATAATTTAAGGACAAAAGCCAAGTCTTAACAATTGATTTGCAGTCATGTAGTGAAAGAGGGTAGAAATTTAATTTTTGTTTATTTTATTATATAGAAAGACTGAGAGATATGCTCGTTGTCGCCTTGCGAAGGTAGTACGGAATTTTGCTGTGGGGAGTACATTTGGTATACAGCGTTTGTTACTGCAAACCTCTGGGTTATAAGGGGTATGGACATGTTGTTTGGCTATTATATTAAAGACGAATAACTGTCTAACACTGAGGAGCTCACACTGTTTATATAAAAGTGTGGTTGAAAATCTGAAGGGTTTGAAAGTCATTACTTTTAGTAAAGATCTGTGGGCTCTTTCAAGCTGAATTAGATGTGACTTGCACGCTCCACCCCACACGCTCACGCAGTATCCAATAACCGATTTTACTAAGGCAAAGTAAACAGTGCGGAGTAGTTCAAATTCCGCGGCATAACGTAATTTTTTGAATGTCCAGATTAGTTTTCGCGTGCGTGCCGTTATAATCTCAATGTGAGGTAGCCAACTCAATTTATTATCTAATTCGATACCGAGGTATTTAATGGTATTGGATTTTGTTATATTAATGCAAGTACAATTTCGCTCAGAGACACATATGTGTATTTTAAGATTAATATCAGTCATATGGGAATTAATAGTTTGGAACTGAATATACGAAGTTTTAGAAATATTTAAAGTAAGTAAATTTTCCCTGAGCCATCTAGCCACCTTCTGCAGTCCGCTTTCGGCAATATTTTGTATCTCGGTCCAGGTGTCCCCATAAAAAACTATAGCCGTATCATCGGCATAGGTAAACAACCTGCAACTAGTTAGGGACAAATTACATAGGTCGTTTATGTAAATAAGAAAAAGACTTGGACCAAGAATACTGCCCTGCGGAACTCCAAAAGTTACATTTGCGTCGGAACTAATATAATTATTAATCTTAACCCTTTGCACCCGACCACTAAGGAAATCTTTAAAAATAAGCAGGGCTGAGTCTCTTATTCCAATTCGCTCCAATTTGTCCACAAGTATAGGAATTGAGACGGTATCAAATGCCTTGGCAAGATCGAGGAAGACACCAAGGCACTTTTTTTCCTGTCAAGTTTTTCTGTGACAAACTCAACCAAGCTACCCACAGCGTCTTCTGTTGACATACCCATTCTGAAACCAAATTGTGAGCTGGACAGAATATTGTACCGAATTAAAAACTGTATTAACCTCACGTTAAGCATCTTTTCTAGGATTTTTGATAGTGCTGTAAGCACAGAAATCGGTCTGTAGTTTGCAACACAATCCCGTGCCCCACCCTTGTGAACAGGAGTAATGAGAGACCTTTTAAAGACTTTTGGAAAGCAGCCTTCCCTCACACATGTTTGAAACAAGATAGTAAGCGGCGATACAATGACATGTCTTACCATTTTTAGAAATCGAGCTGGTATAGAGTCCCAACCAGTGGCACAATCATTTTTTGAGCTTAAGATGAGAGATTCCACCTCAGCCTCATCTGGTGGCATTAGTACGAAGGAGTTAGTCAAGCAATTAGATCTTGTACATTTGTAGTTATACTTACACCCTGTAAGTTTTTCAGCTAGCTCTCTACCAACATTAGAAAAATAACTATTTATGTCCTCAACCGCATCCAATGCGTTACAATTCCTAATTAACTCATCGGCAGAAGATTTTTTACTTGAACTATCGGTGACATATTTTATTGCAGCCCAGGTTTCTTTATTTGATTTTGCACTTTTTAATAA